CCGCCCTGAAAGAGACATGCTTGGTAAAGTAGAGGGTTGGCGGGGCCTGTGGGGCAGGGTCACCCTTCTAGAGTGTTGAGGGTGCAGAGGTACTGATGTGGGTGAGCTGGGGATTGTGAGCAGGTTCTTACCTGATGGTTTCTATTTTCCCAGCGAAGTAGAACATTTGGCTATGAATGAGGAGGAAGAGGAGGGGTAAGGATAGGAGATGGGACTAAACTGGACCTCACAAGAGCAGACAGAACTTGCTGATGTGATGGGCTTTGCTGTCTGGGGTCTTACTTAGCCAACCCCCTGGACTTTACTGACTAGGAGCAACATGGCTTCCCAAGCATTGTTTGGGTTCAGCTGGTGGTTTTGTGATGCACATCAGGCTCCATCGATCTCTCTTGGAACTGGCTCCTGCAGTGCAGTCTGCTGGCCAGCGGGCGGGCTGGCTATTAGCCCGAGGGGCCTCAATCCTTCCCCACGTGTCCCCTCATTCTCCAGCCGGCTAGCCTTGGATGTGTAGCATTCAGGCAAACCGAAGCATCAGTGCTACGTACGTTTCTGCTGCCTGAGATGTTTGCTGCAAACTCATTCCCCAACCATTCCCCAACGCAAGTCCCACAGCCAGGGTCAGAATCGGTGTGGGAACCACGGCCAGAGCAGACACACGGACCTGAAACATCTGTGGCCATTACAACCATTCCCCCGGAAAGGGGTTGGGCAGGAGAAGGTCCAACTTTAAATATAAGCAATTGCAATATTTTGCACTTGGATGCACTGGAAGACAAAGAGGCAATCATTCTTTTAGATGCCACTGAATATGCTATTTAATAACGGCTTTTTTGTTGTTCATATCTATTATAAGCTACACTGTGGTTTCAAAAATGCTAAAATGTGAAACATTTTGCCCTACATTTAGGAAGCCATGCCTTTGAAGAGCCACCAAATAAATTACTCCCAAGAGCAGAGGAAAGCGGAGTCTTAACTGCCTGCAGCACACAGTTTGGCTCATTGCTGTTTTCTCTAGGAAAATAGCGATTTAGTCCATTTTAGATCTAGTTATTTTCTGTTGAGTTCCTGTGTTTACATAGTGTCTGTCGTAAAGAGAACATATGATTTGAAGCAACACTGAAAACAACTATGTTGTTAGTAGTTTCTCTTTAAGTGGTATTTTCTTAGTCAACATCACATTTCCCCTGGCACCAGCCGTAGGACTAGAACACCTCTCCACTGTCTACTGCTCTGGTCTGACCTGGCTCCAGCAGCCTCTGGAGCACTTCTTTCTCGGACCTGTTTACAGGAGGTGTGTCGTCAGATCGCACCTGCTAAAAGGGCACTGTCCTTCAGCCCGCCAGGTAAGGCGCGTGCTAACTGTAAAGTTTGGGCGTCCACATGACACAGCCTTGCTTCTGATCTGCTGGCCCAACTTCAAGGGTTTCCTCTCAGCTCGCTGTATCCCCCCCCCCCCCAGCCTGGGCTCTCTAACCTCTGACCTGCTTGCTGATTTGCTGGAAGGAGCCACAGAGAATGTGCAGTGCTCGGTTACAGCTTACTTTCTTTCTCACAGTTTCATTGGCTCTTAATCCACACTCGACACAGTTCAGTAGCTCAGTCATGTCAAGAAGAATTGTCCGATCATTGCCACAGGCGAGGTCACAGCTTTCTTATAGGAGAAAGGTACAAGCTCAAGGCTTCCAACAAGGTGCTTCTGTGTCTCCCAGGAGGGCATGCTGCCTTCCTGCATAAGCCAAGGCCAGCAGTTCAAAACCACCAGCCGCTCTGCGGGAGAAAGACAAGGCTTTCTATTCCCGTGAAGTGTTGCAGGCTCGGAAACTCACAAGGGCAGGGTCGCTGTCACTTGATAGCAGCGAGTTTGAGTTTTTTCACCAACCAGGAAGCCCAAGGATCGTCCGCGTCCAGAGCATTGCATGCCCTGTTTCCCCGAAAATAAGACACTGTCATATTAATTTTTGCTCCTAAAGATTTTCAGGGGATGTCTTATTTTTCCATGAAGAAGAATACAGTACACATGTATTGTTTTTTGTTTTATTAAAAGAGACCTCTCACTTCCTGTCTGCTCCGGCTGCGCTGCGGCCAACAGTGCGCTGCGGCACCCGGGGCTATGGTCCAGAGTCACGGTAGCTTCGGGGATGTCTTATTTTCGGGGGGGATGCCTTCTATTTCAGTGAGAGGCAAAGCTGTAAGCAGGTCTTATTTTCGGGGGATGTCTTACTTTCAGGGAAACAGGGCCGTAAGCTCTCCAGCCTCTCTCCCCTGAGGGTGCTAGGAAATATGTGGTCCACTGGCCAACTTCCACCACAGTCACCGTCTCACCTCACCAGAGTAAACTGAGTTGTTGTCTGGAGTGATAGTTTGGGTTCTTTTGTCTTGTTTAAGAGATTCTTGCTCAGGAATCAAGAGCCAAGGCCAAGTTCCTTTAGGTAAGGCTAATGTAAACCTCAGGCCTTAATGTCTGCCCTCCCCCTGCCCACTGCCACACTAACCTCAACTGTCCACACGTTGCCAGCTGACCTTTCACCTCTGCAGCCTCGGGCCAGGGCTTCCGAATTCTTCCAAGATCTGGAGCCTCTGCTTCGTCCCCTATTCTCATCTCCAGCCCAGTTCTTCGATGAAGACTTTGCCATTTCATTTTTCAGGAGCGCAAGTTTCACTCTGGTGCCCCATGTAATTAGAACAGAGCGAGAATTGGAATCCTCACCAATTGGCCTCCCCCCCACCCTCATTAGAATTAAAATTTCCAAAAAGGTGAGGAAATGACACCATTCTCCAAAGCCTCATTTGAAAGAATACTCAGTTTACATTTTATGGCTGCTTTGGCAACCTGGTAAACCCCTACTTTTCCCCTTTTATTTCCCTGGAGGGCAGCAATTGCAAACAGCAGTTACTTCCTATCTGCCTTTTATTAAGCTGTGGCGATGGATTTTTTAAAACTGAGTTGTGAATTGGGTTCACAGGGCAGATCATCAGTATTATGCCCAACAATTTCATACTCATTTTGCCTCAGCTCATCCATTGGACTCTGCTCAGTGCCTCATTGTCTGTCCCCTTCCTTGTTTCCATCCCTGCTCCTCACCGAGCCCTCTGCCCCTGGGTAAATGGATCATGCAAAGGTCAGTCTCCTCGACTCAGAAATGCTACGTGGTGCCCAAGCACCACTACCAACCGCTCCCCAGAGGATCACATTTTAGAGTGGGAGAAACACGTGGAACGAACACAACCTCGCCAGGAAGGCCAGGTTTGTTGGTTACGTAGAAACTATGATCCCGGACTGAACTCACCTGTGTTAGAATAATCAACCACCTTAGTAAAAGATGTTAGATAGCTAGAGGCAGAGACCAGGGATTGTCCATCCACATGCCAAGGCCTCCCCTACTCCCCACCCCCTTACAGGAAGTTGGAAGTTAGTAAAGGCTAGAGGGCATGCACAAATTCAGGCCCTGGAGCCAGGAAGCCAGTACACCTGGGTGGGCCCCAGTCTAGGCCAGGTGGGCTTAATTCAGCCAATGTGGTCAACCAGTACTGCCTGGAGGCCCTAAAAAGCCAGACTCAGGAGCTGGAGCCCATCGGCTGTGGTGCAGGTTCTCCGGCCTCAGGCTGCCGCATGTGGGTGTGGAGTGCCTTGAGGGTGCCAGTGTAAAGCCTGAACCTTCTCCTGTCCTTTATAAAACTCACTTGGATGACAAACCAGGCTCCAGCGTGAATTCTTGGACTGAGGTACTCCCTACCCAAGAAACCTAGGAGATCTTTTTAAAAGGGCTTCTCTTGTAGTACATTAAGTGGTGATGGTCCAGCCTGTCTGGACACAGGGCAGTTGATTTTTGCAATAAGTGGCATTTCTTAAAGGTTTAAAGGTCCCTTAAAATTGTAGGAT